AAAAAAATTCTATCACTGGTTCATAAATACAAACTAGAGATGTACTTCCTCTGCTGCCTTTCTGTATCTCTCTCCCTTCTTCCCAATTTTTGCCCTTTCTTGTTTCCTTTATAGATATACATTACAAAGTTACTGTAAAAAAGTTTAATTTGACAGACAAGTTACAGAAGTGACCAAGACCAAAATGTACATGGCAGACAAGGAAGCACATATGATTAGACAACCTCACCATTTCCTTTATACGTTTGTACCAATCATGAGTAAAAGCCAAAGATGGAAGAGGCAACTCCGACTCGACACCTGTCTAGAATCTAAGGGAAAGATTTAATGATTCGACAAGTTTGACTAGCATGACAGTACCCAAGTGTCTAAACTGATCCAAGAGTAAGAATCCCAAAACTACTGTTGACCTTCAGCTTTTCACTTCTCCTAAAAGAATTAAGTCCCTTCTACTTGCATTCTTGGTTATTTTGCTCATCTAAAATTAGAAGTATCTATTGTCTTTCTCAAATCAGCTAAACAGCAAAATAAATCAATATTGATGAAAGAGACAATATAGCCTTGATATGGAGCTGGAGCTGCTAACCATGATGAATGCGCTATGGATATGATGCCAGAAATAGACCAATTTTATATCACTCTTCAAATTGAATTAGCAAAAGCAATGTCTCCTTGCATAATATGGATTCCAAACATTCATGATCTGGATGTGAATAAGTTGAATTACTTATCCCCTAGTCTATTAGTGAACAATCTCTCCAGGGATTGTGAAAGTTCCATACTTTACCTTAATATCCGCATCCCAAATGTGCATGAGATAATCAAATACATGCATAAACTTATCGACAATTAACAAAAGCTTAAGATTTCCACCAACCACTTGTTTTGGACTTTGTATGTATCGGAAAAGATGTTTGTATTAGAACATGCAAACATCTCCACCATGAAAGGCTACAAAAAGGCACTTCTACAGAAAAGCAACTAAGGCAGAAAATAGGTCTTTAACTTGAGAAGATCAAAACATTTGCCTGCCAAATAACAGTTTTCGGCAGGTGAACATGAGAATGTCTTAACCCCAACCTTAACAGCTTTCAGCAGGTGGATGTAACAGTTTTAACTTCAAATCCATTCACCCCATGGACATTTTTTGTTTAAATTTTTTAGAAAATGAGCAAAATGCTTGTGATAGAATAGCACTACCAGTATCCTCATCAAAATAAACATACTTATGTGATGGAAGTGTAAACTCCAATCCACGTCCTGAAGCCCCACTTCCCCAAATAGGCATTCCATAGCCTGGATGAAAACCTTTCTGCATTGCTGGAGGACCCTTTACTCCAGTCGGTCGCCAATCACCTCTGCCACGTCCAGCACCAGGAACCATGCTCACAGGTGGACGAACTTGACCTGAAGTGCCCCCGGGACCCATAGCAGCTGCTCCAGGCATTGGTGACGCACCAGGTCTCACATACTACACGGTTTTCCAAAGAAAAGAACAGAAAAAGTATCAACAAATGGAGAATCAACATAAGAGCAAATCTTTAATATGACGCAAGCCTTTCAAACACATGCTCAATGATCTAAAAAAAAATCAACTAAATATCGAAAACCTTTAGCTAAACATTCACAGTACAAAAATTACAAATTTCACGTAGTTCGGATATCTTGCATTATTCGAAAATATCAACAGTATTTCAACTAATAAGGCTAATGAGTAGGATAGGAAAGGAAAAATTGAAGGGTTAGAGACCCTAAAAAAGGAACAGTTTGTGTCATGATAGAAGATGGCAATCTGGGCTTTAGCATCTTGATAAATTATTATTAGTTGAAAATGAAAAGCATAAAGTACCAAGAAGCTAACAAATGACTAATAACAAAGAGAAATCAATTAAAAGCAACATCATTTTGTCACAGCTGTGGAATAGCTTTAGTTAGAAGCATCTATTAACTAACATCTAAACGACACTTAAAAGGCCACCAGTGTAATTACTTCAGGTGAAAATGATATCCTCATACTAAAATCAATTCCATACCAAGAAATTTTTGAAAAAAGATACGAAATATAATAACTACCAAAAGGGATTTTCTAAAACTTAAGGTAGCTAAATACTTGATGTAGATATTTTACAACATTTCTCATCAAACAACAATAACAGCTGGTTTCCAGCCAATAGTGAGTCGCAACGTGTAGGAAAATGTGTTTGCACCAGTGCAAGGGAAACTGCTAAATGCACCATTTGCTTTGTTTCCACAAGCAATAATCAGTTCAAGGTTCAAAAGGACAAAACTGGGTCGCTGGCGGCATGTTGCATGAAGTTGTATAACTTCTGTGTTGCAGCATGTCTAGATGCTCAATGCAAGCCACCCAGGCAAGCAAGGAAATTCACTCATAACCAGTTCTTGTAAAATGCCAGCTATCTTCTCAACACTTAACCCCAAGGAGCAGTTTCAGAAGAAATTTTAGGAATGAGTGATAGCAGACAATTTTAGTTCAATCTTGACATTGGTTATTCATTGAATTCTGCTACTCAAAACTTGGACAGACATACAGATTGACAACTTTTAGAAGACGCTTGGTGAATAAGGTTGTGTATGGTCACCGGAAACTCTCCTCGAAAGCACAAAAAGATTAGGATGGACTGAAACAAACTAGTTCCCTATGCGCCAGAAACAAGAAGCTACATGCTATTGCCACATTGGACGTATGTTCATCGTCTGTAAAATATAAAGCCGCCAAATGAACAAGTAAGAAGCTAAGAATGAGTAAAAGCACTGGAGTATGAAATTGGTCACAAATCATACTAAATTTTATTACTGGAGATTTGAAACCAGTACAACAGTCAACCTCATTAACACATACGACAACCGCATTGATGAATTCTAATGTAACCAATTTCCAGAACTCTATACAACAATTACTAGCCAGTTTAGTACATTGCAAGTTCTCATCAAACAAGAGGGTGAAAGCACCAAACCCCAGGTGTGCGGCAACATCACTGACCTTGAACTGTGAATGGAACGGATGATGATACCCGTGACCGCTATACCCAATCTTCTGTGCCGCCACAGCTCCACCTCCTGCCCCATTTATTTTTGCAGCTTCACCTAATTCCTTTTTCTCCCCATCGCCACCAGCTCCCACTTCCTCCCCTCCCCAATCTTGCTCTTCCATCATCATTGGCTGATGGCTCGGGTCATCATTGTCTGCAACAATCACCAATGGCTCCCCATCTTCGTCATCCTCATCGTCGTCATCTTCATCCCCCATACCTCCTCCTCCTCCTCCCATCCTCTCCATCCCCATCGGCCCATGATTAGTATCATTCAACACGATTTGCAAGTCATCCTCGCTATCACTATCCCAATCATCATCATAATTAGCGTTGGCACGGCTTTCTACTCTGCCAGAAACTCCGGGAATCGACAGCCCCGGAATCATCGGGTCTCCCGTGCCAAAATTCTCAACATTTCCACTTCTATCCGTCAAATTTCCACCTTTAACAACGAAATTGTCGTCTTTTTCGTCCCTCTCTTCAACCATGACGTCAATATCAGCGTCGTCACCTAAGCCGGAACTCCCCCGAGCCCTTTCCGGCAATTTCGCATCTCCTTCCTTCGTCCCCAAAACCCTAGCTTGCGAATCCGATCCAGCCCCAGCTAAACCCCCCGAGCTCCCCTCCACTTGACCGGAAATCTTATTCAAATCAAAATTCGTCGGGTCAGGACGAGAATAGAATCCGGTTTGCGACGAGGCTAGGGTTTGAATCTTTCCAGTGGAACTGGAATTCGCAGCTCGGAAAAATTTATCCTCATCATCATCGTCGTCATCATCATCCTTATCGCTATTGACGTTTAGATCGATCGGACGGCCTTGATACGCCGTCGGTTTGGATGATTCTTTATTTTCAAGCTGGAACTGAGGAGGAGGCGGAGCAGGTGGCTGCTGCTGCTGCTGCTGAGGTTGAGATTGAAACGACGTCGTTAGAGGCTTTAAGACGTCATCAGTATAGAGATCTCCGAACTCATCATCGTCTTCCATGAAGAAAGAGAACAACGCGAGTGCGTGTTTTTTGAGTGTATCTAGTGTGTGAGCCTCAATCAAGAGAAATGGAGGGTTTTGAAGCTCGTTCGGAGCCTCTTGGCAAGTACCAGTGCTACTACTTTTTTTCTTTTTTTTTTTAGGCAACTTGTACTACTACTTCTTAAGACTGCAATTATAATGCCTAATAGGAGAAATCACAGCCAATTTCTGGACTGTTTGGAACTTGAGTTTTTTGGGAGTTTGTCTAAAACTTCGGACCTGTTTAGAACCTAAGTTTTTTGGTAGTTTGTCTAAAATTTTACTGTAGTGCACTGTAGAAGTTTTTGAAAAAATTTTATAGAAATTTTTGTAAGGTGAATAATTTTTTTGCAGAAGTTTTTGTAAGATAAAAAATTTTGTAAAAATTTTTGTAGGATGAATTTTTTTTTTCCTTTTCTTTTTTTTTTCTTTCTTTCTTTTTTCTTTCTCTTTCTTTTTCTTTTTTTCCTTTTTCTTTTCTTTCCTCTCTTTCTTCATCTTCTTCTTCCTTCTCCCTCCCGCCACCCCTCTCCTCCCTTTCCCCTTCTCCTCTCCTCTGCATTTCCCCCGCCAGCCCCCTTCCCCTTCCTCTCTGCACGCCACGCCCTCTGCCCCGCTACCCCCTCCCCTCGCTAGCCCTTCCCCCGTTGCCAGTCCCTCCGCCCCTTTCCCCTCCCCTCCGTTTGCCAGTCCTTCCGCCCCTTTCCCCTCCCCTCTCTGTCCGCCACCCTCCCCTCAACTCATGCTAGCCCTTCCCTGTTTGCCAGTCCCTCCGCCCCTTTCCCCTCCCTCTGTCCGCCACCCCCTCCCCTCTGCTAGCCCTTTCCCCGTTGCCAGTCCCTCGCCCCCCTTTCCCCTCCCCTATCTGTCCCGCCACCCCCTCCCCTTCGCCTTAGCCCTTCCCCCTAGTTGCCAGTCCCTCTCGCCCTTTCCCCTCCCACTATGTTCCCGCCACCCCCTCCCCCGCTAGCCCTTCCCCGCTGCCGCGCCACTCCCTTTCCCCTGCTGCCGCGCCATCCCGCTGTTGCCCCTTTCCCCTCCCCCTTGCATGCCAATCCTCTGCTCCGCCACCCCCTCCTTCCCGCAGCCCTCTTCCCCTTCCCCTGTGCCCCTTCCCCCTTCCCCCGCTGCCCCGCCATCTTCCCTGCCCCTTCCACCTCCCATTCTGCATGCCACCCTCCTGCCCGCCACCCCCCTCCCGTTTCCCCCTCCTTTGTTTCCCTTCCCGTTTCCCGTTTCCCGCCACCCCCCTTCCTTGTTCCCCCATTTTCCCGTCAGCCATAGCGTAGGAAAGTAACTGCTACTGCTGCATAGTTCTGGGCTGTTTGGCCAGGGAGGGGAGGGGGAGAGGGGAGCGAAGGAGAGAGGGAGGGAGAAAGGAAGGAAAAAAAATTTTGGGAACGTCGATGCCGGAATAGGTGGCCGGCGCCGGAAACGGCGGCAGAGATGGTGGCCGGCAATGAAGGTATGGTGGATGGGGTGGGGGAGAAAAAAGAAGAAAGATAGAAGTTTTTTGTGTATTAGATATTTTGAAGTGTGTAGGTTAAAAAATTTGATAAGTTTTTTTGGCTTCCTGTAGCTAAAGTTGTTAAAAAACTTGTAGCTAAAAAACTTGGCCAAAAAAACTCGCTTCCAAACAGGCCCTTTATTGTAGTGCACGGTAGAAGTTTTTGAAAAAATTTTGTAGAAGTTTTTGTAAGGTGAAAAATTTTGTAGAAGTTTTTGTAGGGTGAAAAACTTATTTTTTCCTTTTCTTTTTTTCTTTCTTTTTTTCTTTCTCTTTCTTTTTCTTTTTCTTTTTCTTTTTCTTTCTTTGTTTTTTCTTTTCTTTCCTCTCTTCTTCTTCTTCTTCCTTCCCACTCCCCCTTCCCCGTTACCTCCACCACCCCCAGCAGCAACTCCACCAATGCCACCTCCCGCCACCCCTCTCCTCCCTTTCCCCTTTTCCTTCCCTCTGCCCCGTCACCCCTTCCTCCACCCCTACAAAAGCTCCCCCTTCCTCTCTCTCTGCCCGCAACCCCCTTCCCCCACCCATGCAAAAGCTCCCCCGCCACCCCTCTCTCTCCCTCTCCCTCTGCCGCCACTTGAGTTTTGCACATGAGTTTTGCAGCAATATAAATGATTTTTTTTTTCCAATGTTCCATCTCCCTCTCCTTTCCTTATCTTGCTAGCAGAATAAGCAGCAACAGTTGAGTGTAATTTTTTTTTTTCAATTTTCCTTCTCCCCAAGCTGCGGGAAGGGGAAGGTGGCGGGGAAAGGTAGAGGGAAAGAGGGGAGGGGGGAGGGAGAAAGAAAAAAAAAGAAAAAAGAGATTTTGGAAACCAACATATCAGTCAAAGGGGGAGGGGAGGGAAAGAAAAAAAAAAAAAAAAAGAGGAAGGCCGGCAAAAGTTGGCCGGAATAGTTATTGGCACCGGAAGCGGTGGTGGAGGTGGTGGGCGGTTGGGTGGGGGAGGAAAAAGAAGAAAAGTTGAAGGGAAAGTTTTTTGTATATTATTTTGAAGTGTGTAAGTAAAAAACTGTGATAAGTTTTTTGGGATTCCTGTAGCAAAAGTTGTTAAAAAACTAGTAGCTAAAAAACTTGATCAAAAACTTCACTTCCAAACAAGCCCTTTGTTTCATGGCTGCAAGTTGCGGCGCATAGGACTAGAAAAATATTTACATGTAATTAACTCATAAAGAGCTTCATTAGGCACTTAAAAGGAGGGTAAAAAATGATACATCAAATAGCTAAAAGCGTCCTCGACGGGTTGTTCGGGTGATCGTGTAACCCTCATTAAGGTGAGACGGCTTGGGTTTGATCCTGAGCTCAGCAATCCGGCGTAATTTCTTAAGGATCAGTGGGACATGCTCTCCACGCGGTTGGGGACTAGTCGGGTGTAGGCCGGAACACCCCCAATTGAAAAAAAAAAAAAAACTAAAAGCATTGAGTTTGTTTGGACAAAGATAATTTGGTTTGCAAAATTTATTCTCATAAATCCCAATTACCTTTTTATCTTCTCAATCACCTTTTTATCTCACATACATCACATCACAAAAAGTGCTACAGTAAATATCTCAAATAAATCATCCAAATAAACTCTTATCCAAACAAACTCATTATAGCTAGTATTATTCTGATTTTGTTTTTTCAAATAATTTGCCATCCAAACACATTAGTTCATGGTCTAAAAGTTTTTCTTTTTTCCTTCATTGTTTGATCAATGCAAAGCTAATTATTCGTAAATGGAACATTAAAAATAATTTATCATTGCATGTTAAGTAAACCAATTATTTTACTTAGTAAATGAATGAGAAGAAAAGTTAATATTGGGTGTGTTTGAATACTAATTTTTTAATATAATTTTACTTGTATCATAAATACGTTTTGCAATCACTTTTTTATATTGTTAATCACTCTTTTATTTCATATATATTACATCACAAAAAAGTAATACGGTGATTATTCTAAATAATCTCCTAATCAAACGAATTTTTTTAACAACTTTTCTACCAGATGCTACGAGTAAAAAAAGTAAAAATTTATAATAACGGCAGACAATGTATGCATGCTCATGGAAAAATATATACAATTCCATGATGATGTGCAATTTCCTTATTGTGTAAAACAATTGATACTTACAATATGGTTTTTGGCCAAAAGAATCTCGAAACTATTTATTATATGATACAGCAAGACTTTATACTTTTTAAGTTTTCACATTAAATTGAATTAGAAGCGTTTTGATTCTTGAAATATGAAACTTTAGTTTGGCCACAAATCCTCTTTCTCATCTACCTTTTCAGTTTACCAAATTCAAAAGTAAATAAACATATCAAACAGCTATGTATCACATTTCATAATAAAAGACGGTGCAAAAAATAGAAAAAGGGATTAGAAGCTCGCATTTATGATCTTTTGAGATTATGGTAACATGAGAGAGTTTGGAGAAAATAGGAAATGGATTAGAACAGAAACATATAACAAAATGGGTTAAAAAACGTTGGTGAAAAGTTGAGGGCGCAAAGTGCAACTCACACAAAAGTTTAAGGGTTTCAACTACAATAAACCCTTGTATACTTCCATTAATCTTAGGAGCACAAAAATTTGCTTTTATCATTCAAAAACCCGAATTGATCTTCGCTTTTAAGTTTTCAACTACGACTGGTAAGTACTTTGAGCGAAAGCAGACACAGTAGCAATCAAAAAAGCAACCCAACAAATTGGTGAAGGATCGCAGGATGATAGGAGTTGGAAAGATGAAGCAGTACACAAATGTCCTCGACAGGCCCCTCAGTAAAGGCAAACAAGAGGTTTTCTTTCACTCCCTATTCAGATCTAGCCGGTAACAGGTTAACGGATTAAAGGGTTTTAATTAACTGTAGTTGAGCAAATTATAAGGTACTTAGCTTGGTTTCATCTCAAATCATGTAGTTTTGCGGCTCAATGTGGATGGGTTTTTGTTTTTGACTCTTTTCATGGTCACAATTGAAATGTATTTGTTGTTTAGTATTTCTTATTGGGGTTTTGTTCTTTCTGCTGGCTGTTGATTGAAATCTCTTCTTTGTTCTAAAAAAATGATAATTGTTTGGTCAGGTGAGTTTGAGTGCATTTGCATTCTTGTTCTCAGAGCTGGTTCAGTACAATCAGACTCAAGTTGACAACATTGCTGAACTCGAAAGAAGGTGATACTATCTTCCACTCATGTAGGTCAATATGTATATGCTGTGAAGAATGGTTGGCGTTAATTTATAGTTCTGGAAATTTCTTGAATCAAACTTGTGAGATGTGCTCAGGATGGAAAATCAGTCACCGTGCAGTTCAAAGCAATTATGCGCAAGTAATTATCATCTGGTACTGTTTTGGAAACAAAAAATTGAACTGACTAATAACATGCTAAATTGTGGGGATTGGAGAAAGGGGTGGAGAGGGGGGGGGGGGATATGCAACAGCAATATAAATAGTTAGTTTAGCGTGCATTTTGAAAATTTATGGCAAGAATCGTCCTTTACTAATCTGCTTTTGTCAAACATTCTCGCCACACCATACAAAATGATTATTTTTGTTGTTCTGATTGATCTGGAACTGGATTCACAATCCTTGGGTTTCTGATGGTTTACTTTGGGTTACTGAAGTTGTGTGACTGCTTGATTTATGCATGGATTCTGTTGTATTAATTTGATGATATCTTAGTTTTGGGCTTGCAGGCTCGAAGATGCAGGATATGCTGTTGGAGCAAGGGTTTTGGAACTTCTTTGCCACAGAGAAAAGGTGCGGAAAATCGAGAGAGTTCATGCGAATATTCTTACTCTCTATGGTAGCCCATGGCAAGTTTTATGCATGTTAAATCATCCTAATCTTTGAAGTGAAACTAAAACATCTGCATCAATTGCAAAGCTGAAGAGCTGGATATTTTTGTCCATTTAACATCTGCCTATTGTGGCTGAAGTGATTGAAGTTCAATAAATTGATTCAGATTAGATTCTTATTTGCAGCAAGTTCATGTGTTTATAATGTTTTTAGTTTTCTTTTTTTTTTTTTTTGAAGTAATTCCACTGCTACTTTGCTATAGGACATACACTGAAAAATCAAGGGAGAAACCAAGTAATTTCTTTTTGGTGTTGAGGTTTTAAAACTATTCTCCTAAACAAAGCTATTACTGTTTGAAAGAAAATATTAAATCAGCTAACTTTGTATGCTTATTTATTCTTGTCTTTAACTGAAGCATTACCTTGAGTAATTTTTCGCACACGAAGATTCATGTATGCAACATATTGGTCACTGCAAGATCTGGTGAATGGTGATGGTGCAACATATTGATCAATTATTGGTTGAATTATTAAAGGGACATCTGAGTAACTGTTTGTGAAGTGATTAATGTTATATAAGAACTTCTCAGAGGGGTCTCTAAATCTATGTTTATGGCTTTTGTTCTTCTCTAAGTTGACTGGCTTATGTTTTTACTATTTATTTGATGCTTTAGGGAAACAGAAGAGAGACACGACTCCTGGGTATCTTATCTTTTGTACACAGCACAGTATGGAAGGTGTTGTTTGGAAAGGTTGGTATTGACTTGCGGCCTCTCAAGATATGGTGCATTGCTTAAATAAATTTGTCTCTTGAAACTTTAGTAATTTTTACTCTTTTTGTGGTAGATCTATCTTGGTTTATTTTGAAGACCTGAAAACTTTAGTGGAAGTATATCTTCCCGTGTCTTTGTTAACTCGCCAAACTAATCGTTTCCTCTTTTCAGTATTGCCACCTTTCCTTGCCTGGTATGGTGAGATAGGCTCCACATACC